CCCACACCCACACCCACACCCACACCCATACCCACACCCACACCCACACCCACATCCACAGGCACACCCATCCCACACCACAACCACATCCGCACACCCACCCCCACCCTCACGCCCAATGTGTATTGGTGTGAGCGTTGGTGAGTTGCTATGGTTGGGCGGGGTGTGACTTTCAGTGATTGAGGGTACAGAAAGTATCCAGACTCATGGCTACGGCCACACCCGAGATCCAAACCCACACTCACACCCAAACTCACACTTCCACCCAAACCCACACCAGACACCCACACTCACACTCCATCTTCAATGAAGACTAGACAGAAAAGAAAAATTTTACGTGACCCCTGTGTTAGAATACATGTGTCTCCAGTTTAATCAAATATACTAAAAAGATATTTATCATGTAGGGGTGTATTGTGTCATTTTACTTAGCGACTACTATACATGATTGTTGGTATGATGTAATTAGTACTATTTTCGCATAACAAGGAATGATTTGGTCAGAATATGAGCACTTTTATTCTATTCAAAATAGTAGAAAATCTAAGTATTCATTAATAGACGTTGTGGTCAAAATTAAAATTCAGTTAAATTTTAAATTTGACTGAATTTTAATTTTGACCACAACATAAACATAGGATTATTCAAACTTGAAAAATTTCATGAAAGGCTATTTCGAGCATTTTGAGAATCAGTGTTGAGTGTATATCTTTTGAATGATATAACATAAAAATTTCGGGTTTATGCAAGGTTATAGAACTTGATTAGACAAATCTAGCGCACTTCTTATAATTGAAACTCTATACATTTCTCAGCGTACTTTAATTGCTTCTTTGAATCTCACTGACTACTTATCACATTTACGAGCTAATTTTGTTAATTAGTATATAGAAGGATGCAGAATGTCAGCCTCTTTCTAATGGTGAAAACGACAGACCGATAGCTCTTTCCATTGAAGAGTTATTCGGAAAACAGCTACCCGACTTTTATTTTGAAACAAATATCAGTAATAGTATTAGCACTTAAAGTGAGATTGTTCTTGACTACATGACGCATAGCTTTGTTAGGAACATTTAATAATTTAGCTAATTACATTGCTGCTTGTCGACTCCTGTAAACCATTCGCTGTGTCACCTGCTCGATAACACTTGCTCTTCGCACCATTTTCGGTCTTCCTCGCAGATTTTTTGGATAGGTTGCACCTATTTTATTAGACAAACTCTGACACATCGTATTAACCGTAGGGTTGCCGACCGTGATTCGCATATGTTTGATAATTTTTATCGATACCGTGATGCCATCAATCATTTCCATTACCACACTTCGAAAGCATTTGAATTTCGTTCCTTTTGGATGACTAACAGCATTCACACGGTTGTGATTTTTTATGTGTAAAGTCACTATGTGTCTCGAAAAGTAGTATCAGAATTAGGGTAAAACATAATAAGAACCGATACCGAGTATTCTAGATGATGTCATCGCTTGTGACCTTCCATACAACATATTAATCGGCAAGAACAACGGGACTCGCCATGTATCGAAAAATGATCTGGTTCGCAGCGTCGAGAGCAGGCCTCACAGAATTTCGCTCATGTTGAGAACAAAACATGAAGAATTAAAATAAGCTTTGTTTTATATATAGTAGATTTTTCACGCTGCATCTATTTGAATGTTCTTTTTCTGTTAATAAAATGTATTTAGCGACTAAACTGCGAAATGCAAAGTACGCCATTTATAATGAGTCACGCATATCAAAAAGAGCATTGTGTTTTAGCTCTGTTTCATTTCTATTTCTTCTATTATGGTTATTTTTTGAATACTTTTCGCTATTTTCCACATCTGAAAAAGCCTTCTTTTCGAATTTTGTTAAATTTCCATCGTCACAATCGACTCCAACTATTGCTCGTGTACTTTATCTATTTTTATGTGAAAATCAAGCTGAGATTAATGCATATAAACACGCATTTCCAAGCATTACTGCTGATGTTATGTTTTTCTGTTGGAGAGACAATTGTTCGGATGCTAATTTCTCTAAACCTCTGCCAATCTTTACAGCTAAATGGTCAGGAGCGGCATCAAAACATGAACCGCTCGTTCGGGTTGACGCTGCATTCAATTATATATTGATCCATCCTCGTGTTTTCATCATCAATGAGGGCCAGTTAAATTTAACTGAAAGAACAACATGGACTACAGCGAGAAATGTATTGTTTGAAAGAGCTCTTGCGGAAGAGCATCATCAAGGCTGGCATTGGGCTTATTATAATTTTTGTGATGGTGATATTCGAACCGCCTGTCCCCTTGCTAAAAGCTTATTAAATACTAGTCATGTTGATGAAGATGGACTTATTATCGCTGTGCATTTTCGTTCACTTATCAGCATTCAACAACATCTGACCAATAAGGCAAAAACTAATCAATGTTTTATACTTATGGATGCTTTTCTTCTTTCCGTTTCACCAGCAATCGGTGTTGTCGCAGGTACGGGAGCGCCGATTCTTTTTGATGGTCTTCTTACGCAAATTGTCTATCATATCGATGCAATATTTAATGCATTTCATCGTGATGCTCTTTCTTTTATTCTTCCTTATTGCTCTCGATATGATAAACGTAGTTGGTGTTCGAGTCAAGCGATACTTGTCTTTCGATCCTTGTGTCTTTATGGACATGTTATTCAATTTAATGGTGTTCATATTACTGCACAAAAACATCGCGAGTATCCTCGTAATGGTGACCCATGGCAAATAGATGGGGACATAAATTTGGTACCACGGTCACTTACTTCCTTACAAACTTATATGAAATCAGAACGCATTGTGAGTGCTCTTATTCTTCGACATTATGGTGGATGGTCACTGGCAGCAACAAGTGATGAATGTCGCCATCGACATACTTCCGTCAATCCTGTTAATTGCACTGTGAGTGGTGGAAAAATTAGACAAAAATCCTGATCATACTTAGGGTCTACCAAAAGTATGAGTAACAAAACTATAAGACTGCGGGGATGGGTGGGGTATGAGTGTGGCTGTAGGTATGGATATAAGTTTGCACTTAGCAAACATCCATATCCATATCCTTCACATCGAATGAGCTAACAAACTGATGTGTTCACATTGTTCATTTGACATTATTTGATCTGTAGAAACAGTTCTCGGAACAGGACTGATGGATAACTTTTATTACGAAAATAGAACACCTTTACTCTGTTTAAAAAACGTAACTTTTTCAGATACCTCACCAGGGAACATTCTCAGGTGCCCGAGCGCTTTTCGGTTGAGACTTAGTGAACATACTCAGTTATAAAATTAAAAACATTCGATCTCCTTCCCACGCAGACAGATAAATGACAACAACGTTGTATTGACGCATCGATGTTGAAAAGTGAAGAAAAAACCGCTTTAAAATTCGTTCACTCGACAAATAAGAGAAATCAATGAGTGTAAACGGGTTTTTTTTGCTGAAAACGCATTTTCACCAATTTAACGAAAATATTAGGTCAATGAACATGTTTTAACGTACTCAATAGGCAAATTAGTCAAATGAATGCATTTTAACATGGATATTCATTCATTTTAATGAATTAAAGTATTTAATATGAAAATGAAAATAGTCGCGGGTTATAAGTCATACCTATGTAGACACATAAACGACAGCACACTGTTTTAACACATAGAAGGTGGAATTCTTATGGATACTGATACATAAAACTAATCATTGTAAATAGAACAGTCTTTTTATTGTACTATTTCAAGGTAGAAAAAAATTAAGAAATAAAGAGAAATCTACAGTAAGATAACCAGAATAATCGGTCAGCTGATATTTCACTTTAAGTGTTTAGGACGCATCAGACATATTGTAGTTTATTTTAAAAAAATAAAAAAACAGTAGCAGTGTAGTGGATATAGTCGAAAACAAATTAAATCGACAATATGATGCAGAGTTATTCTTTCTTTAATTTACAATATATAAATTATTCGTCACTAACGAGTAAAATCTAAATAAAATTCAGATATAACAAATTAAGGGAAATACCCCCGTACTACGAAAAATATGTTTTAATTGAAATGATTATAGAATTTCGACATATTTTAATCTTCTATTTCAAGATATTTAACAAAATATATTTTAACTCAATGCGCTAATTCACGCCATTTAATCATACATGTATTCTTATTGGTCACTATCAATTATTATATGGACTGTACTTTGTTCCTTTCTTTCTTTGTTTCTTTGTCTCATATATATAGCGATTGATTCATAAGTGATAATAGGGTATAAATAAAAATCTGTTCATGATCCTTATCCAAATGAGTTAGTTTTTTTGTAACAAGAGATGAGCGTCGAGTTGCTATGGATGAAGAAAAAATTCACAAATATTGCAATAGATGCACTTTTAACTTCCATACAAAAAATAACCTATTATCGATTTCGAAAATAAAAAAAATTAATTGTTTTGATTTTTCTTAATAAACAGTTAAAAGCATCAACACCTTTCGCTCTTCAATAAAATATTCTTCAACAGATAGAGTTACTCGTATATTTCTTCAGGTATTTTGTACTACATAAAAGCATCGATGAGTAATAAAATGGAAGTAGTAAACGCTTACATAACCGTCGCAGTCATTGAACTTGACTTCGGTTCATTTTCCTATGAGGATATAAAATCTAGTTTTCACAAAACAATAGTGAAAAATAATAATGAATTTAGTCCATAATAATCAGAACAATTGCACTAGTTAAAGAAAAATTGCTTTTCTTCAGCAGTTGAAAAAGAATTTTGATACGGAAGTGAGAAGTGATACTCTTAGTTAATATTTGTAAATTCTATCTTCCTGTAATATTTTTGTATATGTCATGCACTTTGATTACAAAAACTTGTCAAAAAAAAAACATGCGAATATATCTTCAGTCAGTGAAAAGAAAATTTATTTTTTTTTGTTGTATTGAGTTTTGATCTCTTTCAGCATTTACCACAAAATTTAAAACAAATCATATCATCCATTTTAGTCACTTCTATTTTCTGAATAGTTACTTGAATGGAAAATGAGAAATCGGTAAATCTAGTAATACATATGGCTCACCTAATGAATTTTTAACAGAGTTGCAGAAATCAAAATTAAATACTTTAGGAAAAAAACAAATTTTCGTTTCTCTACCACAAGAATATATAAAATATATTCATGTTCTTAACAATGTCTTATCACCGTCAAGTCTGATGTTTATATAGTTTGTTTGAATATTTCCATCTAATGGTGGAAGGTTTTGTAACGAAAATAGAAAAGATTTGATCTATTCGGATTTAATCGAAGCTCTCACGGCTGAATTAACTAATATAATATGTCGGCTGCCCTTTAGGTGCAGTGATCAAGACCGAGATATTCGAATTTTAAGATATGTTTCGTGTATGTACAGTGTGCACAATTCAAAACTTCAATACATTTTTTTTGTCGTGTTTCTTAGTTGTCGATCGTCGAATTGCTTGAGAAAAAAATGTTTCATATTTTAAAAAATAATTTTACGAAAAAGTCCAAGATGTTATTATTTTCAAATATATGGGAAGCTAGACCGAAAATTCTAACTTTTGTAGAGCTTTTCTAAAACTTGAAACATTTTTTCTTATGTAATTTGACAAACCATATCCAAGCAACACGACAAAAGAAAGAAATTGTGCTGAAGTTTTGAGCTCTGAGCACTGTACATACACTAAACATATCTTAAAATTTGAATATTTCGGTCTCGATCTGTCCACGCCAAGGGCGGTCTATATGTTATATTAGTTAATTTTGCAGTGACGCACTCGCTAAGATATTTCCTTCGAAGCAGGGGCGTACCCAGGGTTTTTCGATATGCTGGATCTCAGCTTCAGAGCATGGGGTCTAGATGAAACTTATGGAGGATGATCTTGGACTCAAATAACGAGCCTTTATAAAAAACTTTTTGCGATCAGAGTTTGCGAAAAAAAATTTTTTTTTGGGTATTCCTAAAACTTTTTTATTTTTAGTAGTATTACGTTTTTTAGAATTCCTTCGTAATCTGCATCGAATTTTATCGACAGATTTAAAATTTCATCTAAAAATATGTATCCATATAAAAGTTATTAAGTTTTGAAGTTTTCCAAAAATTTTCGCAACATTTTACAAAAATGCAAAATGTTATAACTTCTGAACGGATGCATGTTTATTAGATGAAATTTTAAATCTGTCGACGAAATTCAGTGTAGGTTACGATGAAACTCTAAAAAACGTAATACTACTAAAAACAAAAGAAATTTTAGGGATACCAAAAACAAAATTTTTTTTCGAAAACTCTGATCGCAAAAATGTTTTCATAAAGACTCATTACTTGGGACCAATCTCATCCTCCATAAGTTTCATCTGGGTTCCATGCTCTGGAGCTCAGATCCAGCATATCGAAAAATCCTGGGTACAGCTCTGCTTCGAACGCATTGTACACTTCAACAAATGTCCAAATTTTTGCGTTTTGATGCAGTTATTTTATTGACGTGTTTAAATGTTTTCTATTTCCACTCAGTTTGACGATGTTAGAGTGAAAATTATATCAACTGTTAAAACGCAAAAATTCGGACATTTGTCGAAATGTACAGTGCGTTCAAAGAAAGAACGAAAAGTATCCGTTAAAATGTGTTATTTTGTCATTTCTGATTGCTTGGGCATAGCGAGCTATGATATAACACTCAAATCCTATGAACAACAGAGTGGTACTTTTTCCAATCACAGCTTGAACGAAGACTTGAACAGACGACCAGTCGATTACAAACTGAACACAATTAGCTCTGAGCTAAACACAGCTCGAACTTGTTTCTATGTTCATTAATCGCATCATTAGTTCGTATAACACTACTTAGTGTAACTTTGCGAATAGAGATGTTATATTTTTACTTCGTGAAATAAACATAAATAATATATTTATCGAAAAAAATCAAGATAAATATATTCTTGATATTTAGAAAAAAATTTAAATAAAGAAATAATTTTTTTTGTATAAAATAAAAATTATAGAATAAAAAAATCTCGCTTTTTGATGAATAAATAAACCCCCCGACACATTAGAAGACCCCCCTATAGTACAAGACCCCCCTTAATAGAAGACCCCCTGGAGACAACGAGACACAAGACAGATTAGAAGACCCCCCTATAGTACAAGACTTCCCTTAATAGAAGACTCCCTGGAGACAACGAGACACAAGACAGATTAGAAGACCCCCTATGATGATTGTTTTTTTTCAAAATTTTTGTATTTTTTTCCATAGCATAGACTTTGGAATATTTGTTGTTATGCTGGTCAATAGTAATTGTTTTTCTTTCCTTTCTGTCGCTGATATATATCTATATCGGCCATTGGTTGAATGGAACAACTATTACCAATGTACGAGTATATGTGTCTATTCTCTAGCAGACGGACATATATATAATATAGAAAAAAAAAGAATAGACTATTGTCTTATAATAGTCATTCTTCAATGATTTACAATTCTTTACGTCACGAAAAAGTAAAACTTCTATCGTTTTTTGCAATAAAACTACACGTAAAACATATTATGGATGGTAACCCCATTATGAATTCTCATCTGCTACCATTATCTTTCGATGATGACAACGTCGATCAAAAGTCTGATTCAGACAGCGTGTCAGTTGATTCTGATATTGAAATTAATGATACAAATTATATCAATGATGATTTTATTCGACTCAATCTCGAACATGACAACAGTTCCAATGAAGATGAAATTGAAAGTTCAGCTGCTACGGCAAATAATATTATAATACCAATCACCGACGTTGAATCATTATCTACCAATAGTAACAACATCAATCCTTCTATTCAAGCTTCATCTTCTTCAAGTAAAGATGCTACAACCACCTCAGTTCATCAAAAACGACGACAATGGAGTGTACAAGAGAAATTAAAAATCATTTCTGAATTGAATAAAGGCGTGTCACTTCATGCCCTTGAATTACGATACAAATGTACACGAAAGATGATTCGTGATTGGAAAAATAGCGAAAATAAATTGATTAAATTGGTAAAAGATCAAGGTGGAAAAGGAAAAAAACGTAAACGTTTGGATGGAGCTGGTGCTAAGTTAAATTATGCTGATTTGGATGATCGTCTGATCAGATGGTATAGATCGAAACGTGGATTGAATCAAGCTAATGTAAACGTAAGTAAAAAAAAGTGACATTCAAAGGAATGGTTAGAGAAGGTTACAGAATTTGCAGTGAACTTAAAACCGATCAACCATCAAATAAATGGTTTACAAGATTTTTAAAACGACATCGTTTGTCATTACAAAAATCTGTTCGAAAGCAAAAGATTTCTCTTTCAGAGGCTCATATTTCTATTAACAAATTTCATTCCTATCTACGACAATGCAGTCAATGGGGTCCGAAAAGAGGTCCTATGGGTTGCTTTTTGGAGTCTGATATCTGTAATATGGATGAATCACCGTTGAGTCTCTGGGAAGATCAATCAAGACGTTCTATAAATGACATCAACACAAGAAATGAAATCGAAGGATGTCTTGAAAATAAGCGTTTTGCTACTATTATTTTATGCGTATTTCTAGAAAGAAATCGTCGAGTAGAACCTGTGCTATTGTTTCGAGGTACAGGAAAAGTTTCTTCTTCAGAAGAAAAATATTATTCACCTAATGTAAAAGTTTTTTTTACTCCAAATGCATTCATTAATACATCAACTTTGGAAAAATACATGACTTGGTGGCTGAAAAAAGTAAAAGATGGTAATCGTAAATTGTTTATTACAGACAGTTGTACTAGCCATTTGAATGAAAATTTTAAAAAAAGAATGCGAGATGAAGGAATAAATTTGGCGGTTATTCCAACTGGATGTACCCAATATATTCAATTATTGAATGTACATGTATTCGCAACATTTAAAAATCACTACTACGACTGTGCTGAAGAATATTTGGAATTGAATGGTCCTCGTTCAAAACTGAAATTATCTGCTTCCAAAAAGCGTATTTTATGCACACGACTCACAGCTTCAGCTTGGATTCGTACATTGAAATCGATCAACTTTCCAGAAGCTTTTCGATCTCTTGGCTATACTTGGGTCGACGATTCTGTGATTAAACCAAATCATATACCATGGTATACATTTGATCCAGGTTGTATCGAGTTAAATGAAAATAAAGTAAATGAACAGAACTGTGATCCAGTACCATCTGAACATAATAGTTCTATTTTAACAAAAAACCAACATAAGCAATTGACTTTGAAAGACTTTTGGAAAAAATAAAGAGTTTATTTTGTTTTTTTGTTTAATTGTATGAAATAAAAAGTGTTTTGTTTATTGATTTATGTTTCTTTTGTATGAAAAGAATAGCCATATGATTTTCTATATACTACACTTCTTGTGTGAATTATGACACTGTAAAGAAAATAGTTCTTGTATTGAACTAGTATTTTGTTTATATGATGTATCTATTGTATTTTTGATTGTATTAACTTGAAAAGAAATTACTTAATAAAATTGGTAACGATACAGTGAGGGCCGAAAAAAGCCTGGACTTTTTTATTTTTACACAT